TGACTAAACACATCGTTGGATTCCACTTATGGAAAGGAAATGAATTCTTGGAAAGTTAAGTAATAACAGAATGATGTATGGCGCTTTTACTTAAAACACACTGATTTCTGTGTAACGATACATAAACATATATAAAAACATATATGGAAGCAAATTCTAATCTCCAAATCTTTATACTTAGGGTCTGACTGGGAGAGCCAGTGTTTCAGCAGCTAAGCAAATCAACATCATTAGGAAGTATCATGTCAAGCTACTGCCAGGAAACTCCCAAAGGGGCCTTCAAAGTTAACTCTCCTCTCAGTAAGACTGCAACTACAATGATGAGCGGTTTCCTTGTCTGTTAATATAGGGATGAGGAAACCACAGAAGCCAAACTGAGGCTACTATAAATAATGCCAGATCTTGAACTTAAGGGTCCCTGGCACTAGGGGAAGCTGACCCAGAGAGGATTTATGGAGGAAGGGGAGGTGGCTCTGCATATGGAGCTCAAAGTCACCGTCACAGCACCTCAGACATCTCACACCAAGGTCTCGCCCTACTTCATAAATAGAGGAGGGTGAACACATCCACCTTTTGAGTCTCTTATCAATATCTCAAAGGCTCAGTTTAATCCTATAAATAATGCGGATGACAAGACTCCTGCATAAACCTAAAGATACTTTGTATACCATCATATTATAAAATATAAAAATATTATTGTTTCATTCCTTTTTCCAGATCAACTGATATTCCCAGGACCTAACCTCACATCTTGCTGTAGTAATGATGATAATGTTGACAGTAGCAAATCCTTACATACTGCAGCTTACTACATGTCAGGCACTTAACAATGTGTGAGGACACACACATATATACTCAGTTAATCCCCTTAATCACTTTGCTGTACTGCCAGAATTGTTTTAAACCATGGTATAACACTTCTTTGGCCACAGTCGAGAGAGAAAGACATAACTAGACTTACAAAATAATCAGTCCCATGGCAAAGTGATGTGCTTGGAGTATTTTAGTAGACTATGAATTTCCTAGCCTATCTCTTTCCCCAACTGAGGAACACTGTGAGATTTCTAGAATATGAGACAGCAGCAAGCAATATAAATATTTACCTGCCCTTCTGAATTGCTCCCCCAGGCATACACATCTCCATTTGATGCCAAAGCAAGTGTGTGTTCAGCTCCAACTGCCACATCTTCAATGATCATTCCAGCCAGGACAGGGATTTGTTGCGGTCGATTGTGATTGCGAGCACGCCCCTCTGGCAAGCCTATCAGGCGATCTGAAAAAACAAAACAAAAACATGTGGAAATGTTATGCACCACACACCACAGTGCTTTTATATTTTCTGATCAGTCATTTAGCTTCTTATGGTGGAATGGCAATGACACATAAAACTCAACTGAGGCTAAAGCTGCTATTCCGGAAAGGTATACCAGGTTCTGAATAAATAAAAAGTGTGAAGCTGTTTCTCTGCAAAACATCACAGGCTCTTTATTCATAAAAATTTTTTTTAAAAAGTTATATCTAAAATTGGTAACTTGTTTCAAAATAAGAGGCTTCTCCAATATCCACATCTTCGAAAAGACAGGGTCTGACTGACACAGTTCAGGCTCTCAAGTTTCTTAAGTTCTTTTTTGAGACAGGGTCTCACTGTGTTGCCCAGACTGGAGTACACTGCAGTGGTGCAATCTTGGCTCACTGTAGCCTCAACCTCACCTCAGCCTCCTGAGTAGCTCGGACCACAGGCACATGCCACCATGCCTGGGTAATTTTAAGTTTCTTATATTCTAAAATGAGAGATCATTCAACTTGTCCTCTAACTTCCAACCAACCTCTGCCCTTACCTTGCCAGACTTCTAGAGGGTGCTAGCCAGCTCCTGATGCACAAAGCCTGCTACGTCCACTTGGCTTGCCTACCTTCTGTGGCCTAACTTCCACTCTCTCCACTGCACTGAAATTCTACTCTCAAAAGCCATGGTCAGCTCCTAATTGCCTACTGCAGTGGCTTCTTTTCAGGCTCCAGCCCATGGGAACATCATGCAACCTTCTAATAATGTGGCCTCAGCTTTTCCTGCCTCTCAGAGACTGCACTGTGAGGTTACTGGCTCACCAGTAACCTCTTCCCACTCCTTTCAAAGCCAGCTCTCCCAATTCTTCTTTTTAATCTTTGTTGTTTTTTTTTTTTTGAGATGAAGTTTTGCTCTTGTTGCCCAGGCTGGAGTGCAATGGCACAATTTCAGCTCACTGCAACCTCTGCCTTCTGGCTTCAAACAATTCTCCCTGCCTCAGCCTCCCGAGTAGCTGGGATTATAGGCACCTGCCATCACGCTCAGCTAATTTTTGTATTTTTAGTAGAGACAGCGTTTCGCCATGTTGGCCAGGCTGGTCTCGAACTCTTGACCTTAGGTGATCCACCCGCCTCAGCCTCCTAAAGTACTGGGATTACAGGTGTGAACCACGGCACCCGGCCCTCGCAAGTCTTATTCCTGTGCCCACCTGCCCTTTACATCAAATGCCCTAGAGCTCTATTTTCTTCTTTTCTCATTCTATACTCTCATTCTGGGTTTTTTAGATGATACGAATAAGGATTTAACTACTACCATTATGCAGCTAATGTCCTAAACCTACATCTCCATAACCAATCCTTCTGGAGTTCAGTTCCAGATCTAAATTCTCAATAGCCTAAGTGGACATTTCCCCACATTTATTTAGGGCAAATGGGTCCGTTCAACATAACTAAAACTAAGCTCCTTACCCTTCCCCACAAAACAGCTCATGTCCTCAGTCAGAGACATCGATGTTCTCCCACAACTAGAAACTTCAGTCATGGTTTAATTCCTCTTCCTCACACCTGTCTCACATATCCCTCAAAAACGACCCTTGCCAAGAATCTCAGATCCACTATGAATGCCAGGCTTATGAACCGACTCAAGATTTGAACCCAGAGTGCCTATGAATTCCTCCAGTTCCTAAGATCTGCAGCCCCAATCCCTAGAAGGGATGAACAATGAGGCAGGACACAGAGGAGCTCTGGTGGTCAAGGCAGTATTTGTGGCAGCATGTCAAGGGCAGTAGAAAAGAAGAGGGGACGGCCCTTGGCAGGGACTCTTCTAGCAAGAGTGCAGGCTCTGGCATAAGGGGTCTTAATGGAGAGGGGAGTCTGTCTTTATAATAAAGTACATGAAAGAGGAGTGGAAAATTATCTAGTGAAAGAAGGTCATAGTGACTACTCACCACCTAGAACAAAAAAAGGACTCAATTTAGAACACATTCTATAACACTAGAAGGCCAATGTTTATAACGATGTGTACCCAAGCAAATAAGCTGAAAGATGGCTTACCTTGACCAAAGGTATACACATGACCATCTTTGGTCAAAGCAACGGAAAACTGAGTTCCACAAGCAACCTTTTTTATTCCAATTCCACAAAGGACATCAATTTTCTGCAAAACAAAAGTGTAAGGCACACAACTTTAAGAAGAAGAAAAAAAATCACTCTTGAATTTGCCGAATGGCATGTATCAAGAACTATCTTCCAACAAAAATACTAATTGTCACTTACCTATTTGACCCAAATCCAAACCTGAAATGTTATTTTCTCCTACTGCTCTGCAAACTAACTGAATTTCGGGGAGGGAGTGTGCAGAGGCAGGGGCAGTTTGACTAAAGTCTCCAGGGCCTTATGTGAAGTAGAAGCATTCCTCTGGGTAATAGAGACCACAGGGAATTTTAAAGAACCTTTTAAACCTTCCAGGACCTTTTAAAGAACACTAGAAGACCATTTTAGTTTAACATTTTAGCTTTCATGGGTGACAATAACTGCTGTATATGTTCTCCAGAGTGGGTTTTCCTGCCTCTCTGCATACCTAACTGAATATTCACTAGACAGCTATCAGGATGTCACAGACTATAAATGGTGGTGAATCTGAATATAAGCTGAAGCTTTGTAAACCACACTGCTTGTGAAATGTGTCAGGAAAACCCACATAAAACAATCATATAGAAAGTCTTCTGTGGAGTCAAGAAATCTTCTATAGTGTGAATAACAGCTTCTATTTTCTTTCTTTATGGACTCAGATTTCCTTTGTATTGTTTTTTAAAAGGAGATGTGTACCTGTGTAATTCAGTGGTAATAATAAGCAAAAATGGCAGCTGCATGCAGAGGGTTACAAAGGATTACTCATAGTTCCTTCCATGATACCCTGGAGATATGTTTCTAATTATTTTTTCTCTACATCAGAGGTCCTACAGTGTGAAACCCGTTTAGGGAGACAGAAGCTTATCCTTGCAGAATTTTAAATCCAGTTTATCTGGATTAATAGCTTATTTATTTATTTATTTATTTTTATTTTTATTTTTTTTTTGAGACGGAGTCCCACTCTGTCGCCCAGGCTGGAGTGCAGTGGCCGGATCTCAGCTCACTGCAAGCTCCGCCTCCCGGGTTTACGCCATTCTCCTG